CCTGGGGACGCCCCGTCCCCCCCCCCGCGCTGGTATTTACTGCCCACACCTGTGTCAGCAATGCAGCATACGTGGTGGGATGGGGGCAGGGACATAGGATGGAACCTTCTTCCTATGTGATCATCTGCACAAACCTAACTCACCAGCAGGAACAATGGTGACCTCTTGGAGAAGACAAAGTTTTTCTGGACTCTACAACTAAGAATGTGATTGGCTGAGACCTGCTGGAGAGGAATGTTCTGAGCACAGAGAAGAGGCCATGGCACGTGGGACTGAGAGAGGAAGAGAGAATGATGATGGTAGCTGAAGGATCCTGACCTCAATGCCTATCCCTACTGACCCCCCTCCAAACGCCCTCTCCATTTCCCTCCATTGTAATTAGAATGTATGTATATTCCTATTTGTAAATAAACAGCCCCAACACTTATTTAACCCCTTCGTGGCATTGGCAACAAACAGCAACATTGGCAACAAACTGTTTGAGATTAACTCCATTACAAAGACTAGAGGCCACCACCTAAAGTTGGTGGAGAAAAAATTCCAGCACAATGGGCGAAGGGAGTTCTTTACAGTCAGAGCGGTTAGGTCTGGAACTCACTGCCATCGGCCGTCATCTCAGCTAAGAGTGTAGATTTGTTCAAGAAACGTTTGGACAATTTCTTGAGGGAGCGTAATATCCGGGGGTACCAGTATCCCTAAGAACGAGATGATGCGTGGACCTATATGGGTTGGACTTGATGGACGTATGTCTTTCTTCAACCCCAAATACTATGTAACTATGTGACGGGAGACGTACACTGTACAGGGCCAGTTATTTGCGGCTCTGCAATGCTGGTAATCGCTGAGAATCGCCGGTTACCATTCATTAATGGATGGATCAGTATTGAGGCATTCATGAATGAAAGAGTTAAGCTTTTTCAGACACCCGATCCCCTTCAGGAATGGGGGTGTCTGAGAGTGAGAGCAGAGAGGCATTTGCAGCTCTTGCCGTCACTCTGACAGCTGCTATAGATCGGGAAATCCCCATGTATACCGGCTTTCTTTTTTTTGCTATACTATAAGCAATAGAAACATTTTGATACATGTCTCTATTGCTGAAAACAATGTTGCAGTTTTTTTTGATCATTGTTGGAACGATCAGAAAACCTTTAGTGGCATCTGATCCTGAAATGCTGAAGGATCAGTGTCACTAACGTTATTATTGGCTGTTCTTAAAGTGACATGAAAGGATAAAAAAAAATGTCCCTCCCTCCAATGTTAATGTTACCTTAAATGATGTCTCTTATTCCGATCTTCCTCTTCTTCCCGGATGTTTTCATCTGTCCCTCCAGCGCTGCGGCGGCTCTCCGATCCAGCGCTGACACCTCTCTGCTAGCAGCCACTTCCGATCCAGCGGTGTCTGCATGCGGGTGCACGCGTTCATAAATTTAGCTTGCGTTTCTGCTCCTCTCCCGGCCGAGAATCCGAATTGCGCCCGCCCCAAGATGCTTTGCGGCCGCCGGAGCAGTTTCGTTTTCTCGGACGTGAGCGCGCAACCGAAACAAGGAAAGTGTTAAGAGTTGTTAAAGCGTTAAAACTTTTTGCCTATATCTACTGCTAATGTTGTAAACAAATAAATGAATGCCAAACCAGCAGATCCCCTGGGACTCCCTAACAGGGCCTGTGACGGACCCCCGTACTCAGGATGAGTATGTCCTCCGCTGTATTCTTCCTTGCTCAGGAGATCTTGCAACCTGAAGATCCTTAGCTCCCAGTTTCCCCAGTCACTGGTCGGGACACGAGTGTAGGTGAAACAAACTGATTTATTGAGCAACTGCACAAACTTTTATACAGCAAGTGATGAGATCAGATTATAATCCCATCACATCCCCCCTCCCCTCCCAGACAATCGGTCTGCTCAACACCACAGGGCTTCCCTGCTAACGAGCTCCAGACAGCCATAGCAGAGCCTGGCCAGAATGTCATTGTTCTGAGCTCCTTCAGAGTACAATGGGAGATAACGAGGGATGGTGCTGATAGTCTTTTCATAACCAGGTCACACAGTATAACATAATTACACATAACACCAATACACATTTAACTCCTAAACCGATCACCATGTCGTCACAGGGCCATCCTGCAGATAAGGGAATTTAAGGCCCGAGTTGGGAAGTGCCAACCTATTGGTTCATATGTCGCCCATAGCCATACTGTGCTGTGTTGCGATATATCTTAGTGGACTTTTTCAGACACGCATAGATTTGCAATAGAGACGGAGGTTTTGTTTGTTGATAGAAAGCTGGGTTCATACAATGGAAGGGGCCACCTAAACAGACCGAACTGGTTTTTCACAATGGTGTAGCTTGTCCTGTATTGATTCGTATCACAATGGGATGGTGATCGTAAACAGTCACACCTAGCCTGGTCAAGACTCAAATCAAATCTGGACTACTGATGGCAATTTATGGTACAATGCTGCCACCTAGAGGTGGGAAAGTGAAATGCATTGTATTGCATTTTCTTAAAAGTGAAAGGGGGGCAGGTCGCTTCCAAGTGTGTTTCTCTCAATAAAAAGCCAGTAGCTGAGGAGCACCGCACTTCACCAGACCAGGGCTTCACAGGAGGGGGACAGTACGAGGGGGCTTCACAAAGACAAGAGGACTTGCTTCAAGACCAGGACATACTGTACAAAGGATTTAGCAGAGACTGCAACGAGAAGCCATTTGTAGGCCAAGAAGTCCTGTTCATCACGGAATTTTTGGAGTCTGCAGCCTGAGCTAAGTACATTTTCAGTGTTTCCCCTCCTAGAAATCATACATGTACTAGAAGAAAGTGTAGTGGGTGCATGTGAATGTTTGTAGCAGCCTGTCTTGTTTATGTATTTGTTTGTTTTTTCCTGTAACTAAGTTAGTACACGCAGCATTTTCGCCAAGTAAAGCACTTTTAAATGCTACTGGGTCAGTTTCCTTGAGGTTTACTGCAAGAACAGACAACAAATAGAAATTAAAGTTTTGCCAAGCTTTACAGCTGGGCTCATCCTTGAGATAAGCTTGACGTCTCTGGGATTTGTAGTCCAGAGCATTACATGTGCGAATGTGCAAATGCCCAAAAACGACCAAATGACGTAAACATCAGACCTGTTATGTAGAAGCATTAAATTCAAGTCGGTGGAATCATTAGTAACACCCAGGAAAGCATTCTGCGGCGCGCGGCAATAATGTTTCACAGCAGCCAAAAGGGATACAAAATGTTACATTAGACGATGAAAACCAGATAATAAATAACAATGTCCTAAACTCAGCACCTCGTATGTACTAAGCAGGCCACTCATCAATAAACATAAAATCATCTAAATAAGGAAATAGTACTCCCTCAGGAAGTTACCCGACCAACCATTAAACTGGTAGACCTCGGGGGTTAAAAACTCCCGCTCATATGGGCAAAAGGCAAAAATAAAAAATAAAAACAGATCTGATTGCAGAATTGGCTAAGGCCTTGTTCACACCAAATGCAGAGCAGATCCGGTCAGGTTTCTGCACACGCACGCTAGTCTTTTAGATGCGTTTTTGACTAAAAAATTATTGAAAGAATTTTTGAAAGTTTAAAATGGGCTTACAGTGCGTTCCAGGCATTTGCATGCATTTTTGATGCGTTTGCAGATCCAGAGCAGGTAAAATAGGGCCTGCTGCAGTTTTTTCACCTGCTCTGGAACTGCACGCTGCGATGTGAACTGGAGCAAAAGATACCATTGGAATACATTGGACGCAGTTTTGATCCGATCTGCACCTGCTCCTCGCTTGTTGTGAACAAGGCCTAACTGGGTCGATTGACCAAACAATCTCAGCACAAGCAGATCCTGATAAATGTAAGACAGGAATCCTACCAAGAATAGGCCGGCAAGAAGTAAATGACAAAAGGTGAATTAACCCGACACTTTTATTTTTATTTATTTATGAGGCGCACCGAGAAGTGATCACTGAAAATCAACAAATAGAGAAACCATAAAAGGAACCGGCAATCCTCCCTTCATA